GCGAAACCCAAACGGGAACTGATGGCTATCCTCTATACAGAAGGCGAAAGCCTGATGATGGAGGACATACCGCCGTCATTCAAATGAAGGTGGACCATCAGACCGTAGACGTCGTGGTGGACAACAGCTGGGTTGTGCCATACACTCCCTTGCTCTCGAAAATGTTTCGAGCACATATTAATGTGGAGTACTGTAATTCGGTGAAGTCGATTAAGTACATCTGCAAATATGTGAACAAGGGAAGTGACATGGCAACATTCGGCCTCGAGCATGCCACTGCACCGTTTGATGAGATCGAACGATATCAAACGGGCAGGTACATAAGCAGCAACGAGGCAGTTTGGCGTATCCTGGGTTTCAGGATACACGATCATTACCCACCTGTCACCCATCTACATGTCCATCTAGAGAATGGACAACGCGTCTACTTCACGGCTGATAATGCGCAGGAAAGAGCTGCGCAACCACCTCAAACAACTTTGACGGCATTCTTCCTTCTGTGCCAACATGATCCGTTCGCACGGACTTTGTTGTACTCAGAAGTTCCAAGATATTATACTTGGAACAAGTCAACAAAGAAGTGGGCCAGAAGGAAACAAGGAGCCGAAGTTCCCGGACAACCTGGCATACGTGCTGCGGATGTGTTAGCGCGTGTATATACTGTACACCCTAACCAAGCCGAATGCTTCTACCTCAGATTGTTGCTTCACACAATCCGAGGACCGACGTCATTCGCAGCATTGAGGACCATCGATGGAGAGGAATGTGAGACCTACAGAGAAGCATGCCAAAGACTTGGCTTGCTTGAGATGATCAGCAATGGGACAGAACTCTCGCAGAAGCAGCTACGACAAGTTTCGCTGCTCAACTGCGAACTCTCTTCGGCATCATCTTGACAGTCTGTCAACCGTCAAATCCTCGAGCACTCTGGGAGAAGTACAAAGAGGCTCTGAGTGAAGACGTACTCAGGGAATGTCGCAGAGGGGCACCCTCTGTAGACATCGGTTACTCTTCCGAGATATTCAACCGAGCGTTGATACTGCTTGAGGATACGTGCGTGTCGATGACTGGTCAAACTCTCAGAGACCTCGGTTTGCCGCCGCCAGTACGCGGAGATGACCAGGCACTCGAGAGCGATGTTCTCCGAGAGAGGTCCTATGATGCCGATCAGCTGACCACATTTGTAGAGTCTAACAGACCTCTTCTTACGGAGGATCAAGAGTTGGTTTACCGTGCTGTTCTGGACACGATTTCCAGTGGCAAAGGTGGGCTACTCTTTCTCGACGCTCCGGGTGGAACAGGGAAAACGTTTCTCATCAATCTCCTACTTGCCGAGATTCGCAGACAAGGAGGGATCGCAGTAGCAGTGGCATCCTCGGGGATTGCCTCAACACTGCTAGAGGGAGGCCGAACTGCCCATTCAGCCTTCAAGCTTCCTCTGGATATTGCTCATGTAGAGCACCCACCCAGTGTGTGAGATAAGCAAGGGCACAGGGAAAGCCAAGGTGCTGCAGGAAGCCAAACTCATAGTTTGGGACGAATGCACCATGGCGCATAAGAAGTGCCTAGAAGCTCTTGACAACACACTACGGGACATACGAGAAAGCAACACGCTAATGGGTGGGGTCGTCGTGTTACTGGCAGGAGACTTTCGTCAAACTCTGCCAGTGGTTCCGCGATCGACTCCAGCAGATGAGCTGAACGCTTGCCTCAAAGCTTCTCCTCTCTGGAGACATGTTCGATCGCTGAATCTCACGACGAACATGCGAGTCCACCTCCTTGGCGATGAGACTGCCCGAAACTTTGCGCAACAGCTGTTGCTTCTTGGCGAAGGCAGAATTCCGGTCGAACCAAGTTCTGGATGGATTACCTTTCCTCCAGACTTCTGCAATATGGTTCAATCGGTGGGAGAACTGATCGAAAAGGTCTTCCCAAACATTGCCACCAACTTCAGCAATGGGGACTGGATTTGCGAGCGAGCAATTCTGGCACCCAAAAATGAGCAAGTGGATTCTATCAATGCTCAGATTTTAAACAGCCTACCTGGACCGGTATCAACGTACACATCCTTTGATACCATGGTTCAGCGTGAGCAGGCTGTTTACTTCCCCACTGAGTTCTTGAATTCACTCCAGCCCAATGGGATACCACCTCACAGACTTGATCTGAAGGTTGGTTTGCCAATCATGCTCCTTCGTAACATCAACCCACCGAGGATGTGCAATGGTACAAGGCTTTGCATCAGGGATCTCATGCCAAACGTCATAGTAGCGACCATATTGGCGGGGAAGTTCAAAGGCGAAGTCGTTCATGTTCCACGAATCCCTTTCGTCCCCTCCGATATGCCCTTTGAGTTCAGGCGAGTGCAGTTTCCGGTCAGGCCTGCACTTGCTATGACGATCAACAAAGCGCAAGGACAGTCTCTACGAACAGTAGGAGTAGACCTGGAAACTCCCTGTTTCTCGCATGGTCAACTGTACGTGGCGTGTTCGAGGGTCGGGAGTCCGGCGAACCTGTACATATATGCGCCCGAAGGGAGCACGGCTAACGTAGTGTATCCCAGGGCGCTAACATAATTGCATGCTGTAGTATAGTACAGTATTTATTTGTTGCATGCCATTCTATTGGAAAATCCAAAAAAATTGGAAAATACAAAATCCAAAAAATGGCAAAACGAAAACCCAAAAAAACGGAGGCCAGCGGCGGTCAGGACAGGTGGGTGGGACAAACAAGAAGCTGGACAGATCCAGCCGAGCTTCCCTCCTTACTGATGAGTTCCGGGGAAAGCCTAGAACCTGTTTAGCCAAACCGTCTGAGGGTAGGAACGAAACGGTACATCCTCTTCTTGAGGAACAAAACGGAAGGACGACTATCGGCATCGGCTGCTTCCGTTGAGGACAACCATCGTACCAACCATCGGTTGCCTCTGTTGAGGACAACCATCGGTTGCCTCTGTTCGAGGACAATCATCGGTTGCCTCTGTTGAGAACAGCCATCGGTTGCCTCTGTTGAGAACAGCCATGGGTTGTCTCTATCGACGACAACCATCGGTTGTCTCTATCGAAGACAGCCATCGGTTGCCTCACTTGGAGGACAACCATCGGTTGCCTCACTCGGAGGACAACCATCGGATGTCTATCGAGGACAGCCATCGGTTGCCTCACTTGGAGGACAACCATCGGTTGCCTCACTCGGAGGACAACCATCGGATGTCTATCGAGGACAGCCATCGGTTGCCTCACTTGGAGGACAACCATCGGTACAACCATCGGTTGCCTCTGTTGAGGACAACCATCGGTACAACCATCGGTTGCCTCCGTAACAACCATCGGTACAACCATCGGTTGCCTCTCTTGAGGACAACCATCGGTACAACCATCGGTTGCCTCTGTTGAGGACACCCATCGGTACAACCATCGGTTGCCTCACTTGGAGGACAACCATCGGTTGCCTCACTCGGAGGACAACCATCGGATGTCTATCGAGGACAGCCATCGGTTGCCTCACTTGGAGGACAACCATCGGTACAACCATCGGTTGCCTCCGTTGAACAACCATCGGTACAACCATCGGTTGCCTCTCTTGAGGACAACCATCGGTACAACCATCGGTTGCCTCTGTTGAGGACACCCATCGGTACAACCATCGGTTGCCTCACTTGGAGGACAACCATCGGTTGCCTCACTCGGAGGACAACCATCGGATGTCTATCGAGGACAGCCATCGGTTGCCTCACTTGGAGGACAACCATCGGTACAACCATCGGTTGCCTCTGTTGAGGACAACCATCGGTACAACCATCGGTTGCCTCCGTTGAACAACCATCGGTACAATTATCGGTTGCCTCTCTTGAGGACAACCATCGGTACAACCATCGGTTGCCTCTGTTGAGGACACCCATCGGTACAACCATCGGTTGCCTCCGTTGAGGACAACCATCGGTTGCCTCTGTTGAGGACAACCATCGGTACAACCATCGGTTGCCTCTCTTGAGGACAACCATCGGTACAACCATCGGTTGCCTCTCTTGAGGACAACCATCGGTACAACCATCGGTTGCCTCTCTTGAGGACAACCATCGGTACAACCATCGGTTGCCTCTCTTGAGGACAACCATCGGTACAACCATCGGTTGCCTCCGTTGAGGACAACCATCGGTTGCCTCTGTTGAGGACAACCATCGGTACAACCATCGGTTGCCTCTCTTGAGGACAACCATCGGTACATCCATCGGTTGCCTCTGTTGAGGACACCCATCGGTACAACCATCGGTTGCCTCCGTTGAGGACAACCATCGGTTGCCTCTGTTGAGGACAACCATCGGTACAACCATCGGTTGCCTCTCTTGAGGACAACCATCGGTACAACCATCGGTTGCCTCTCTTGAGGACAACCATCGGTACAACCATCGGTTGCCTCTGTTGAGGACAACCATCGGCCCAACCATCGGTTGCCTCTGTTGAGGACAACCATCGGTTGCCTCTGTTGAAAACAACCACAATTAAAGAGCCAAGGTTGTTTTCTCTTCTTGAGGAATATAACTTCGTTTTTTTACCGAAGTGTATGTGGCGCCGGGCGGAGCCGGGTAAGCCAGCTATAAATAATGTGTTGCTAATGTGTGAGAAAGACCAACAATTTGAATGAAATATACAGTGGGGGCTCTGGGTGGCGACCTCCAAATCGATGGGCCCATTTGAGCCGAAGTTGTACTCCTCTTTTTGAGGAATACAACTTCGGCTTTTTTTTACCGAAGTGTATGTGGCGCCGGGCGGAGCCGGGTAAGCCAGCTAGTGGAACATATTGCGCGACTCGTTCTCAGCCAGGTATTGATCGAAATTTTTATCCAAATTCGGTAGCGCTGTCCTGGTATAGCGTTAGCTCATCCGGCAGCTCCGGCAGTCTGGATGGACCTAAGTGTTGCGGGTTGACAAAAAAGTCATTCTCATTGTTAAATATTTTTCATTATAAGTCATCGTTTCCTTTAACATGATTTGTTACAGAAAATCATGGCAGTTGTTTACCGATTAAAAGCAACAACGATTTCGATGTGATGTGTCATCACGTGGCAGTTCCTCCTACAATTAGCAGCTGTGTGATAGCCGCTGTATAGACACATTTCCAGATTATACGTGCAATGCATAAGCATTTATTTCAAAATCAAATCCAGTCGTCGCCATGTTGTCAATTTTTGAGAATACAGTTAACAATTTTGATATGATTTTTTTAGCTTTGTTTCTTTTATATCTTTATCAAAGATAACTGCAGCTTAAGCATATGCGTAGAAACTACCGTTTTCTTTGAAGTATACTGCTGTCATGATGAAGGTATGCAAGTTTGAATTGATAGCTTCTGTGATAGCCTCTATAATTTCTTAAACTATTATACAGTATTGGCAAGTAAGATTATGAAACTGACAAGTGACTTCTGAACATTTTACCTTTACTCTATATGGGGATTTTATGCAATCAAAATTTAAAACTTCATTGAAACAGTGCCCGGGTAACGCTAATTGTGAGGCTTTCATCTCAAACCAAACCCCGCTACCCCTTATTGCCGTATTTGGCGAAGGACTTGTATCGGTCAAGCTACTGTTTGGGGATACATCACCCAGTAGCGGTCCGAGGGTGGCTCGCGAAATCTCTGAAATTACTTGCGTGTGATATAAAATTGTGCAAGTGCCTACTTACACCTGCAAGTAATGTAACTTGCAGAAATTCTCCGTATTGCTGTGTTTGGCCTTTAAACCGTGTGAAAAAATTTTGTTCCGGAGAGAGATGGTTGCTGCCGCTGCTTCCACTCTAAAATTCCGGGGTTATGGGCCCGCAGAAATTTTCGGAACGATCCCAAAAGAATTTTTGGAGCGCGTATTTGACGCCGCGCACCTTCATTCTAGAAATTTTCGACACGCCCCCTTCGCCCCCCTGGATCGCTCTCGTTTATGAAGTATTAGGCGGGTGCAAAAGTCTTGTTAGTTTTGTAAGGTGACTAATAGCAAGGAACAAACACTTCAAGTTGTATGCGATGCAGAATTTCTTCTTTTAGCTATATTTCCAGTGTGAATTACTGAGAGAATGTTGGGATAATTGCTGGTAGTTACAACCCTTCGTCATTTCTTACTTTCGTTAGTAGGAATTTTTGTCAGAGACTTGTGGACAGGCTTCAATAAAGAACGGGTAGGGCAAACCTTTGACCAACTAATGCAATTTTTTTCTTTTTCCAGTTGCCCTTTCAAAATTTTCCTGGATAGTTTTCCAAAAGCCTTGAGTTTTGCAAAAACCCCACCCATGGTTAGGGTCGAAATCCAATGGTTAGGCACCCTATATATGGCAATTCCTTTCCGGACCATGTGACATGCATTCTCAAAAGTTTCGATTTACTGCTTCTTTCCAGAATTGAGAAACTATCAATTTGCACTATCTATTGTACTTATATTACCTAGGATTTGCAAATTCATAAATCTGCACTTGCACATTCTTACTTTCAAGGGTACTGTTTTTCATAATTTCTCGCCACTCTTTATTGAAATAAAAAAGTCTTTTCTATAATTCCCTTTCCATTTCTTGAGTATTGAGAAGAAGTGTTTCTTTTGTTTTAATTGATGCATTCAACTGGTACAGAGATTTGCCACATTCACAATGCCAATAACAGTTTTCGACCACACCTACTGCCTATCTCTGGGCTGCCGAATATTCTTACATTACACTAATCTTCTTTTTGTGAAGTGATAATTTTTGATTTTCTCAGTCTTACTCTACTTATAGTAGAATAACTGACTTGCAGTACAGCTTCTTTTCGTAGTTCCTAGTTTGACCTCAGATGGCAGTTGGCTTTACTATATCGAATGGACGAGAGCTATTGCAGTTTTCAAAAGTTTTCTTATTGCATTTATCACATTTATGTCCGCGTGAAAAATACAATGATCGCGGAGATGCTTGTGGCACGTATACGCATATGTTGCTCAGGTGTTCTTTCAATAAAATCTGCTGAAGAGGGAGAGGAGAAGGTTTAGAAAATAAAAAGTTATCAAATTTGGAAGGGGGCTGGAAGGGAACAACAAAGAATAGGAAAACAGGGGACAAATTTCGTCTTTTCACGCTTTAGGACTCGCGGGGTTTCTAATGCAAAATATATGGCTCTCAGCCAGGCTGGCTCCTGGTCGTTAGCTCACTGTATTTGATGCACCAAAAAACATCTATATTGTAAAATAAGTCAGTAAAAAAGCCTGCTTAAGGAACCACATTCCATCGCTTTTGTGAAAGCTTCACGATTCTGGAAGTGCGCTGTTGTTTTTATCATGGTATCCCTGCAGTGCATGCTTTTTCTAATTTATATTGATGAGAGTCCGCTTTATGCAAAAACTGCATCAAAAAAGTTTGTTGGATTTCATTTGAACTATGGTCGCTTTGGCAATCAGGTAAACACGGTTGAAATGTTCAATAAATGTTGTGAATTGCGTGTTCCATGACTTTGCCAAAAATCGAGAGCTCCGAAGAAATAATTTTTCAAGGCTAAAAACAGCACGTTAGGAGAATGTAAAAATATTGCCGTATAGTCCGAGAATTATTCTATTTGTGCTATACTTAACCATTTCCGAAACCTCGAGAAGAAACTTCTAAAATTAACCTAAATTTGAGTAGATGAGAATAACGGGTGAAAAATTGTGGCAATTATCAAAAAAGCATACACGATTGTGGCTAGGAAATGTAACCTTAAGAAAGAAAGGGAAAAGCTGCATCGAATGCATGTTGAAACTCATTAAGGTCTTCATTGAGCGTGGTTTTATAGCGGTTTGATAAAAACCGACAAAACTTTCGCGACAACCTAATATATCCAACGGTGATTAAGGCGAGCGTTTAGCCTCATTCCTTGAAAGTTTATATAGCTTCACACAACATCAGTCGAAACCTGAATTTCACTGCATTCACTTTTCTGCCAGAGTTCAAGCGCGAATGAAGGCATTTTTCAAAGTTCAACTTCTATAGGTAATGGAAATTGTCTACATTATGCATACTTAACCATATTTTCTCGGATCCTTGAGCTGAGGTATCGACACCTCAACATGAGTAATCATTGCATTCATTCTGGCGTCCAGGATTTGTAAAGAAGAAAGCAATCGCCAAACTTCGCCCATTTCTGCAAGCATAAAGGTAGAGCCCCTTTCTGACAGTTTTTTGCAAAAATACAGGGTGCGTCAAAAGTCTGAGAGCCTAGTTCTCTTTCGTACAAAATGAGAAGGAAAGTACTCAGAAACGAAAAATTTGGCGCACACTTAATTTGAACCATTGCAGATACAGCCCAGTTCTTGAATTGCAAAATTGAATCTTTTGGCTTCCACGCGGCCCTACAAAATCTCGGCAAGTTCATCTGTCACGGCACGCAGGTAGTTGAATGAAATTTGCCCCACACCTTCACAATAACTGCTTCGTTTACCTTAGCAATTGTGCAGCACAATAGAGCAAGCTTTTATCTACAACATGCTTCCAAAAGAAATTTTTGCATTGCTTAGGAATAAGAATATTGGATTTTTAATCAGAAGCATGTGTACGTCGCATACCGGAATTTTGGCTACAATTGCGCGAATAAAAACTTAAAATTATCGTTTAAAAAGAACAAAAAGTGTTCCATGGCCGAATTTCAATAGATTCTAATTCAGAAGACGTATGCAAAAAATAAAGCTTTGGTCCCAATGCCTGTTGAACATTCTATAGCTTTTAAATTTGTTCTGAAGACGGATTTCCACTGGCACGTAGGTAACATTCGCAAACTTTTATTTTTCGTTCATGCAAGAACAGCTCCTGGCAAAAGCAAAACTAGGATACAATAGCGCAAAGCCTCTTCAAAGTTGTGTGCATCGAAGTTTTGTAAAATAGTAACAGCATCTCTAGCTACAGCAAAAATTGTAAATACTAAAAATTCTGGTTTTTTTCGCTTTGCAAAAGTACTAGTTTGGTAATTTCCATTCTCACAAAAACATGTGGCAGCCATTTCCATCCAAATAAAGTGTATTTTGTAAAGGATGACCGCAGCATCATGTGGCATGAAAGTAAAATCAAAACCACCAGTACCTTTGTGATTGCAATACTGCAAAGTTAGGCTCCCAGACTTTTGCCGCTTCCTGTAGAAATTCATTATTTGTTAAATATAGTGAGATATTCATAGCCATAACTTTTTTCCCCATTTTTTCCAAGCAGTAATTTTATATAGAGCTACGGGAAGAAGCGATTATAGTCTATCACACTTCATTACGCTCAAAGCATGATAGTTTCCTGTCTTACATAGCCCCTTACTGGTGAATTCGAATAAATGTTCCTTGCTGCAGCGATAAAGGAAGTAAGTTTCTTTTTTGGAACCTTTGCATTATTGTTATCTTTGTGCACATTATACAGGGTGTCCCAAAAGTATGTATCGAACGTTTGATCGTTAATAACTCTCTTCCCAAGAAGTCTTTTGCCTTGCTTCAGGTACCGTTTTGTAGAGCTGGCTTCAACTTACAAGGGAGGTCGGATCAGTCGAAGTGGCCTTTTCAAATGGGTCATATACTATTTTGAAGAGCGTTAAACGCTGATTCCGAATCTTTCTTCGTTATCTGCCGAGCGCCTCTGGACGCCGAGTTATAAATGTTTTTTGGAGCGAAAAATGAACGCAGAATTCAAGTAAAATTGACTATTACGGACTTTGCAGCGCCTAAATAGAGCAACATGTAGTATGAGTGTTTTGGGCAGAAGGTATCCTTTGGAATGGAGTGCTCTGGTAACCAACATTGGACCACTTGAGCAATTCTGACGAATTTTGCTTTAATTACGCATTCAATTTTTCAACCCAAAGAACGCTCATAACTCGGCGTCCAGAGGCGCTCGGCAGATAACGAAGACAGATTCGGAATCAGCGTCCTAAGCTCTATAAGACAGTATACATTCAAAGATGAAATGCCACTTCGACCATGTATCCTTCCCTTGTTAGATTTGCAGTATAGAACGAATCACTCATTTCTCTTCATTACTGTAGGATTACGGTAGAAACTTCAAGGAGGGTTTTAAGCAATGAAAGGCCATATTTTGCCCCAGAAAGGAAAAAACAGCCTTAAAACTTTTACACTAGGCTAATTAGAGTTGCTGATTATAACTGTAAAATTCCCAACTTATTATGATGCTTCATTGAAGAGTTATGCCAGGTAAGAAGTAGCGGCCATTTTTTCAATGTTCCTAAAAAGTGGGATTGCACCGTTTAGAAAGCTTCGTAATCTTTGAATAATTAATTATTGAACTCA